AGAGGCCGTGCGTGAGGGCAGATCCTGGGCTGCCTGGTTCGATGTTCCCGCTGCGTCTGAAGGAGCGCCCCACGATGGTCTGTCTCCTGGTCCCACGATGACCACGGCCGCTCCAGACATCACGCCCACACGCAGAGGCAATAACCAAGGCCCCTTCTACCCAGCGTCTCTTCTTCCTGTGTTAAAGGGCCTGTGTATTGATTTCAGAGAGGAAAGGAGAGGGAGGGAGGGAGGGAGAGAGAGAGAGAGAGAGAGAGAGAGAGAGAGAGAGAGAGAGAGAGAGAGAGGGAGAGAAACATCCATGATGAGAGAGAAGCCTGGATGGACTGCCTCCTCCACTGGGGAGCCATGTGCTCTGACGGGAATCGAACCGTGACCTCCTGGATCATAGGTGGACACTCCATCACTGAGCCACGCCAGAGGGCTGAGTCTCCTTTTTTTAAAAATATATTTTATTGATTTTTTACAAAGAGGAAGGGAGAGGGATAGAGAGCTAGAAACATCGATGAGAGAGAAACATCGATCAGCTGCCTCCTGCACACACACACACACACACACACACACCCACTGTGGATATGCCCACAACCAAAGTACATGCCCTTGACCGGAATCGAACCTGGGACCCTTGAGTCCACTGAGCCGAACCGGTTAGGGCAGAGTCTCCTTTTTAAAACAAAGAAAAGCGATCCCGACTCGCCCTCACGTTGTACTTGCCTGACCTGTGGCACACACCCACGTCTACAGCAACCACTGGCGGGGGCGGGGGAACCACGATACTTGGCAGACTATACTCAGACCCCACTCCTGGGGCTTCCCCCTCATCACGGGCTATCAGCGAAAGGAGACTGCTGACCAAATTAGGGTGTTTCTTGGGAGGAACAAAAGGGTGGTGTGTATTGGAGGGGGACACCACCCAGGCTCCCTCCTTTAGAGAGAAAAAAACAAAAAACAGTTCTCCTTCCTTTTCACATGGCTTTACCATTCTCACAACACTTCTAGTCACCAGTTGTGGGGGCGGGGTCTCCACCCCAAGCAGATCCACAGTTTAACTCAGTTCGGACACTAAGCAGAAGGGCCCCGTCCCACAAGCCTCTCCCCGCTCCAGGGCTGGTGGCAGCCCAGGCCGCCTCCTGCACGTGTGACCCACCGGTGACACGTGAAAGGCTCCCGCGCTCCCGCTTCAGGGTGGAGGACCCTGCTGGAGACAGGCAGGGTGCAGATGCACATCCAGATGGCAGCCGCCATGCACAGGGCAGGGTGTGTGGGCAGAGCCGCCATGCCTTCCCGGGCACGCCACTCTCCGGCACCTGTACCTGTTCACCAACCCAGAGGCTCTGTGAACGTCACACCTGAGGGATTTTTATGGCGGCTTCACCACGCAGGCATGACAGGTCATTAACTTCCCTATTCCCTTCTTCCTTCTCATTAGCACGGGGGGGGGGGGGGGGGGGGCGCGCGGGAGAGGGAATGGGGCTGAAAATTCCAAGCTTCCTTCTAACCAAGGCTTGGTCTTTTAGGTGACCAGCTCTCACCGGGGAGCCATCCAGGGGCCCAAAGTCACTTCACTGGGACACCCCCATCACCCAAGGAATGATACGGCTTTCAAGCACACTGTGCGGGGAACGGGGGGCAAAGACCAAATATATGTGCCTATTACCCCATGGAATGACAAGGAGTAAACAACCAGCAAGGTCTGCAAGATCCCGAGACTTCAAAAACTCAGGAGCTCTTGTCCTGGCAGGTGACTCCACTGATCGTCCCATTCACATACCTGGGTTGTGAGCTAGATCCTGGGTTGGGGTGCATGTGGGAGGCAACCGATCGGTGTTCTCTCACACTAATGTTTCTCTTTCTCTCTCTCTCTCTCTCTCTCTCTCTCCTCCTTCTTCTCTAAAATCAACAAACAAGCCGAAACCAGTTTGGTTCAGTGGATAGAGCCTTGGCCTGTGGACTGAAAGGTCCCAGGTTCGATTCCCATCAAGGGCATGTACCTTTGTTGTGGGCACATCCCCAGTGGGGGGTGTGCAGGAGGCAGCTGATCGATGATTCTCTCTCATCGATGTTTCTAACTCTCTATCCCTCTCCCTTCCTCTCTGTAAAAAAATAAATAAAATATATTTTAAAAATAAATAAAATCGCCCTAACTTGTGTGACTCAGTGGATAGAGCATCGGCCTGTGGACTCAAAAGTCCCAGGTTCGATTTCGGTCAAGGGCATGTACCTTGGTTGCAGGCACATCCCCAGTGCAGGAGGCAGCTGATCGATGTTTCTCTCTCATCGGTGTTTCTAGCTCTCTATCCCTCTCCCTTCCTCTCTGTAAAAAAAAAATCAGTAAAATATATTTAAAAAATAAATAAACAAACATGTCTTTGGGTGAGGATGTAAAAGACCCTCAGGAATAGTAACTCATGGTGTGCAGCCCATTCCCCCCCCCCCCCCCCCCAATAGCAGGCACAGCAGCTGCCTCCCCAATAGCATTTCTGTGAGAAGGCTGATGTCATCTCTGGCTGGGCGGTAGGGGGAGCCTTTGGCTCGTGTCTCAATCAGCAGCATCTCAGCCCCTGGCCATTGATACTGGCTCAGTGATAGGCAGGGGGCATCCTCTGGACCAATGAGGCATATTGAGAGGTCTTTCTTTCTTTCTTTCTTTCTTTTTTTTAAAATATATTTTATTGATTTTTTACAGAGAGGAAGGGAAAGAGATAGAGAGCTAGAAATGTCGATGAGAGAGAAACATCGACCAACTGCCTCTTGCACAACCCCCACCGGGGATGTGCCCGCAACCCAGGTACATGCCCTTGACCAGAATCGAACCTCGGACCTTCCAGTCCACAGACCGACGCTCCACCACTGAGCCAAACCAGTTTCGGCTCTTTTTTTTTTTTAAATATATTTTATTGATTTTTTACAGAGAGGAAGGGAGAGGGATAGAGAGCTAGAAACATCGATGAGAGAGAAACATCGACCAGCTGCCTCCTGCACACCCCTCACCAGGAATGTGCCCACAACCAAGGTACATGCCCTTGATGGGAATCGAACCCAGGACCTTTCAGTCCACAGACCGATGCTCTATCCACCGGGCCAAACCGGTTTCGGCTGAAAGGTTTTTCTAGAGGCTTCTGGAGGGAAATATCTGCTCTCTGTCCTGAGGGAGCTCTTCTCTCCCTTCCTCCCTTCCCACCTCAGGCTCTTCCCATCTGTCTGTCTGTCCCTCTCTCTGCCCCTTCTGAATGTGAAGAAAAAGTGTGGCCCCAGGGGTGTTTGCCAGCCATTGTGCAACCTGAGGGAAGACGCTTGTCCTTAGGACAGAGATGGACAGTCCGTGCTGCAGCCAGCCACGCCCGATACCTCTTTTATGTGTGAAACGATGATTCTCTCTCCCTTAAGCCAGCCGGGGTGGGTGTACTGCACCTGCGTGAACACCTGCTAGATAAGGTACCCGAGTGGGATGGGGACAGGACCCCCACGCTCACGGTGTCCTCGAGTGGAAGAAATGGTGGGCTCCAAAGAACAGAGATGAGAATGCCCTGCAGCGGGAGTGAGAGCCGTTGGTGAGCGCCGTGGGCAAGGAGACCCGTAGATTCTTGGGGGCAGAGACGACTCTTCGCTGCCCTCCACCCATCGCCAGGTGAGACGCCTCTCTCCGCCTGTCCTAACACGCCACACCGGCACACGCCAGCTCCTCCCTGCAAAGGCTCACCCTTGCACACCCCCTGGAAGGGTTCGAGGGGACCCCGCCTGGCCACCTCTCTCCCCAGTTCCAGAAGGACAGACGGAGGATGCGGAAGGAAGGGAATCAGCCGGGGCTGTGACACAGAGGCTGGCGGGAGGTTTGGTCCAGGGGACAGAGAGGATGCCGGGAGCTGGGCCTGCGGACAGGAAGGATGTCTGTGGTTGAAGCCCCGCGGTGTGCCTGGATATGAAGCATCTTGGTCGTGATGGCAGCGATAAGAAGCACGGATTTTTTCGCAGTTGGCATACCTCCATCACCTCACTGTCAAAGGGCCTGGTGGAGGTTCTCACTCTCCGTGAGTCCTCGGGGAGTCAGTCCTGCCCCAGGTGCACAGGGGCCGACAGAAGTGGGCTCAGGGAGACCCCCTCCCCAGGTGGGGGAAGGACCACAGTCTGCAGGGCTGAGTCAGCGTCAGAGATGGACGAGAAGTGGGCAGGGCACCTGGGCAGGGACACCTGGTGCCAGGGCAGGAAGAGCAGGGACATGGGGCGGGGCAGCTGCACGCCACGCATTGCCTGGGAGGCATCGCAGGAGCCTCTCCCTGGGAGACTCAGCGCCTGGGCTTCCTTCCAGCTGCTTCACTCTCAGGGGGCCCCTGCGGGTAAGGAATGGTGTGGAAACACGGGGTTTCCCGGTCAGGACAGGAGGGAACGTGGGGTTTGACTCCAGCCCAGACCAGTCCGGGGAGGTCATGCACCTGCCCAAAGTGGAGGCTGCAGCCTTCCCTCTCCAGGTAAGAGAAGGGGACGGTGTCACATGACAGCTGTCATGTGACAATGTCCCCTTCCCTCACCTGTCCACAGGTCCCTTCTCACGCTCCCTTTTCCACGGAACACGCCCCCTCCACAGCCCTACACCCTCTCCCCTTTGCACGCCCTCGCACCCCCGCACCTCCACGCACATGACCGCCCCCACCTCCCTGCACCCTCCCGCCACTCAGCGCCCGGCCCCCCGCTGCGCTCAGCCTCCAGCACTCCGCACCCGCACCTTGCACACGCACACGCACCGGCACACGCCAGCTCCTCCCTGCAACGGCTCACCCTTGCACACCTACACACCCGCGCTCCCCGGCTGGGCACGCACCCGCTCTGTCCGGCGCATCGCCCCGCGCGCGGTCCTCCCGCCTCCGGGCGCCGCGCCCCCGCCCGCCTCCCCGCGGGGCCCTCCCGCGCACAGTGTCTGCCCGGGTCTCCCCGTTCCTCCGGGACCCCGGCCCCGCCCCCGCTCCGGAGCCCCGCCCCTGGCCCTAAGCCCCGCCCCCTGGCGGGCAGGGGGGCGGGGCGGGGGCGGGGCCGCGGCGCGGGCGGCGCAGGTGCCGGGCCGGGAGCGAGCGGCGGCGGCGGCGGCGGCACCATGGGCCGGGCCCGGCGCTTCCAGTGGCCGCTGCTGCTGCTGTGGGCGGCCGCGGCGGCGCCAGGTAGGTGGGGGCCGGGGCGGCGGGCCGGGCCGGGGCGGCGGGGAGCGCGGCGCGCGGGCAGCCGGGCCGCCGCGGGGCCGCAGAGGCCGAACAATGCGCGCGGGGCCGGCCGGGCCCCCTCCCCGGACAAAGCGCAGCGGCGCGGGGTGGGCGCGGGAGCCGCGGGCGGGGGAGGGGGCGCGGGCCCGGCCGCCGTGCCGCAGCCCCCCGCCCCGCACAGGCCCCGATCCGGGCGGGGACAAAGGGACCGAGACCCCCACCCCCCCCCCCACCCCCGCCTCAGCCCGCCTTCCCCGGCCGGTCCCGCTGTCCTTCTGTCCGCGCTCTGCGCCCCTCCGTCCGCCTGTGTCTGAGTCCTCAGGCTCCCTCCTGGTCCCTCTACCCTTGTCCTCTGCCCCCGTCCCTCAGCCCCGAAGTCCTGCCCCTCTCCTTTCTCCTCGCCTGTTTCTCCCCCACCCTCTACCCTCTTTGTCCCCCGCCTCTGTCCCTGGGTCTCTGCTCCTTTCTAGTGGGTCACTCTGTCCCCCGTCATCCTCCCTAGTCCCCCTTCTCTGCCCCTCTATACCTGCTCTCCCTCTCTGACCCTGTCTTGTTGTCACCCTTGTTTCTCTCTCTGTCCCCCATCTGTCCCATCCCCTTGTTCCTCTGTCCCCTGTCTTTCTGTCATTCCTGTTTCTCCAGCCCCCTCTGTCACCTCTCCCTCTCATTCCTCCCCCGTCCCCTCTGTCTGTCCCACGGTCTCTCTGTCCCCTGCCTCTCTGCCGCCTCCCCTCTCCACCCTTACAACCTCCATCCTGGGATCCCTGTTCCCATCCTCCACCCCTCTCTCTCTCTCTCCCTCTCTCTCTCTCCCCCCCAGCACTATGTGCCCCTGGGGAGGAACTGAGTCAGGCAGGGCATCCCAAAAGGCCCCGGAGAGATGTGGGGGGAGGATTGCGTGGTGAACTCGGCATGTGGGCACACACGTGGATTCAGCAAATTCCTCCCAGTGGCTGCCCCTCCCCACCCGGTCACACACCCCGGCTGCTCCCCTCCAGTGCAGCCAGAGAGCCGCCCCACACAGCTCTCACACCCGGGGAGAGAGGCTGGGGACCTCCAGCATAGCGTGACCCTGAGACTGGGGACAAGGTCAGGAAATGTCACCCACACACCCTTCGCACTGTGTGCCTCGAACTTGTCACAGGCCACCTCCTCCCGGTGGGCAGAGCGGGTCTGGGAGGAAGGGAGGGTCGGGAGGTGGCTGGCGGAAGCGGGAGGGGTAGAGGTGCCGTGAGGTTTGGGAGAGGAGGGGGACCAGGTGGCCCCGGGCTGGGGGCCTGGGTGTGGATCCTGGCGCGCGCCGTTTGCCACAGTCACCGAGGACGAGGACCTTCCTCTCTCCAGGGCTTGGTTTCTCTCTCTGCAAAGTAGAGGATGTGGGGCCTGGTGATCTGACAGGGGAGGAGTTCCAGCTCGAACCCCAGACAAGGTGAGGGGCCAGGCTGGCCTCCCGCCGCCCACCTCGCGCTCTCCTCTGGTCTCCGCCATCGCTCCTGGACGCGCATCCTCACCTCCTTTCTTTGCCACAGACACACTGCCATTTCCCCGATGCGTGCTCTGGTACCTCAGCTACATCTCCTTCCAGTGTTATTTTTCTTCTTCTTTTTTTTTTTTTTTAGGCCCTAAAATCCAGCCTCCTAGAATCCTAGCACCAATGAATCCAGCAAACAAAAACCCTGGGGGTATTCTGTAAGATGGACTCCCTGCTGGGATTCTAGAGTCCCAGAATCTCTAAAAGTCTTGACACCTTTAACGTTCTGGAACCTCGATGGCATCAGCATGCTGGCCCCTTGGCATCTGTCACATTCTGCAATCTCGGCCTCTCGGAGAGCCCGGGTCTGGCACCTCTGCCATCTAGGATCTTGACAGCGTAGACCTTAGAACCAGAAGATGGCCTCAGAGGCCACCTACTCGGTGCGAGAATCTCTCACCCAGCACTTCGGGGAGGCAGGCAGCCTTACTGGTTTTTCCCTCGTTTAAAACCGCCGCATCCTGGTACTCTAATCCCTTCTGTAAACTTTCGCTAAATCCTGGGGCTTAGCAAGTCGGGAGAGAATGGTGTCGTGGGAAGAAGCACTCTGGATGGAGCCAGGAACCGGGCCTCTCTGGTGTGGTTTTCTATCCTCCCCATCCCTCCCCGAGCCTCGCCTTCCCCTTCTGTGAAGCACGGGTGAGGGAGCTGCTGGCGTGCGTGATCTCAGAGGGCCCTGCCCGCCCTCCTTTCCACTGGAGGCTTCTGAGCCGCTCTGGCCACTAGGTTTCAGGGTGTGTGCCTGGTGCCCTCTCAGGCACCTCCTTCCTCTCTCACCTTGCCCAGCCGGCAGCGGTGGGGAGGGGAGATGGCGTCCATTCGTGTCCTTTCAAAGATATATTCTCCCTTTTCCTGGCTCGCTCGTCTGCCGCGAATAGCAGGCAGATGCTGAGACTGATGCCAAAAGAAAGAAGGGTCCGGGGTGGGAGGTGAGAAAGAGGATGGATGGGTAGTCTGCCTAGAGATGCACAGGCCAGAGCTTGGAGCAAACAGACACCCAAATACAGAGAAAAGACAGAGGCTGTCAGAGCTGGGGGGCTGGGGGTGGGGTCAGGGGGGGGAGATTGTTGATTCCAAACAGTGTTTCCCTCCTCAGTGACTCACTTTTCCCTTCTAGAGTTCTGCCCCATTGCTCTGAGCACAGGGGGGCTTGCCCCAGTGTGAGTCAGCCCCGGGGGCAGGTCCCAGGAAGTTTCTGTCACTGACCCCCACCCGCCCACGAACTGGGTGCCCGAGTCCCCGTCGCTGAGGTCACATTCTGCAAAGGATTCCAAGACCTTAGACGCAGCAACGGGGCCGGCCGGGGCCTGGGTGGGTTAATGGCGTGCGAGCCAGGCCTGTCCCCATCGTGGGGAGCACAAAGACAGCTTTCTCTCTCGGGGTGGGGTGGGGAGGCGTGGAGACGGCCAGACTCGCCAGCACCCAATGGCGTGTGGCACCAGGACCCAAGCACCCACTGGTTTCTGCCCCTGCAGACCCCAGGCCGCTGGGGCTTCTGGGAACCGGGCACCACGGCTCCTCCGCAGGCACCCGGGAGGGCACGAGGGCAGCGGCAGAGCCGGGGCGCCCCTGGGAGGGGGTGAATGGTGGCCCCTGGGGGTGGCGGTGAGGACAGGGAGCCCTCAGTGCAGGCTCGCACCCTTCCTCCAGGAATTCCTCCGCTGACCTCCCCCCCACACACTCAGGGGGAACTCCAGAGGATTCCCCCACCCCCTGGGCCTGAGCTTGGAATCCAGGGAGTTCTGAATATCCCAGAAATGTGGGGGCCACAGGGCAGACTTTGTATGTGAGGCTCCTGACTCACCCTGAGGCCCCCCCGTCTGATGCTTGGTTTCCAGAGAAGAGGGGGATAGAGGGCTGGGGAGGCAGGACTGTGGCTCTCGGGACTGTACCTGGAGTCAGAAGTTTCCAAGAGAGGAGCAGGGTGGGGGCCGGACCCCTGGGTCTGAGGGAGGAGGGGCTGGGGGCCTGGACTCCCTGGGTCTGAGGGAGGAGGGGCTGGGGGCCTGGACTCCTGGGTCTGAGGGAGGAGGGGCTGGGGGTCTGGACTCCTGGGTCTGAGGGAGGAGGGGCTGGGGGTCTGGACTCCTGGGTCTGAGGGAGGAGGGGCTGAGGGCCTGGACTCCTGGGTCTGAGGGAGGAGGGGCTGGGGGCCTGGACTCCTGGGTCTGAGGGAGGAGGGACTGGGGGCCTGGACTCCTGACTCTGAGGGAGGTGGGGGCCGGGGCTGGACTGGGGTCTGAGGGAGGAGGGACTGGGGGCCTGGACTCCTGACTCTGAGGGAGGTGGGGGCTGGGGCTGGACTGGGGTCTGAGGGAGGAGGGTTCCGAGAGAGAGGGCTGGGGGTCCATACTCCTAGGTCTTGGAGGAGGAGGAGGGGCTGGGACCCTGACGCCTGGGTCCTGCGAATACAGGCGCCTTCACAAGGCTGAGCTGAGGAAGAATTGATGCTTTGTGCAACGATGCTCGGACTCCGCCATTGGTGGGGGGCGGAGGGGGTGTTCAGGCAGGACGCAGGGACGTACCACCTCCCCAGGGGAGGAAGCGGGAGAAGAAGGCACGATGCCACCAACCTCCCGGGGAGCGGATACGGAGGGGTGGCTGTGACCTTCCTGGAGCCGTGACCTTGAGACTCCCTTGGGTATTCGCTGACTCAGGACCCAGGAAGTGCTCCCCCACCCCACGGAGTTTCCGTGGAAACATCCACCAGCTGTGTCCTCGGGACCCCTGGCTCCCGAGCCCGACGGAGGAGGGGGCTGGAGGCCCGGAGTCCTGGGTTTGAGAGAGGAGAGGCTGGGGGCTGGGGACTCCTGGGATTGAGGGAGGAGGATGCTGAGACTCAGGCTCCTTCCTGGTCCTGATGGAGGAGGGTGCTAGGAGCCGGGAGGAGCCGGGGAGAGGAGGCAGTTGGGGCTGTTTTCCTGGGTCCGAGGGAGCAGGGTGCTGGATTCTGGGCCTCTCTACATGTCACCTGCTCGGCCAGCAGCTCTTTCCCAAACCCTCCCGTCTCTTTTCCAGGCACCATCCCCATGACAACTCCGGGCTGTCAACACCGTTTAAAGGGCCAGCACCCCAATCCCCAAAGCTCAACCCCTCTCTGACCAGAGAGTCCCGCCCCACCACCCCCCAACCCCAAAACAAAAGCTCCCGGGACATTGATATTCCAGGCACAAGCACTGTTGGTTACTGAGTCTTCGGGAGGGGGAGGGAATGAGACAAAAAGCCCCACCCTCACCCCATGTGCACCCTCAAGCAGAGGGCAGGACATAGACTTGGGGGGCATCCCGATGGCTCTCCGGAGCATTAAGTTTCTGCCACCAAATCACCTGGGGCCCCTGAGCCTCATTTCTCCACGTCTGTAAAATGGGGGGCTAGTATTGGCTGGGATCCTCGTGCAGGATCCATGGCGAGGCTGCAGAATGTTTGTGTG